CTCTAAAGGTATTTTGGCGACTAGCTCTTTTGCCGTCTCTAAATACATTTAACGACTAGCAAAAGCAAGCCGTCCCAGTTGACCTTTAGCGAAGAACGATTTAAGGACGGGTGGCGACCAGCCTTTTCCCGTCCCAATAGACTATCTGGGACCGGATTTGGACTTTCTGGGACCAGATTTCCCTTCCTTAGAGACTGTTTTTCTTGTAGTGCTTCCTACTTCTTTCTCAATGATTATTTTAGTGTGTTAGTGCACAAAGTCTTCGTTAAATAACTACACAATATAGTGCACCACACATATCTCTATCCTTTTTCAAATAACCACGGAAGAATGTGATGCAGTGAATGTAATTGTTCTTTTCTTAATTAAAGATTTTGAGTTCTCGCACGGGGTAAGGAATTTTTTTTTAATAAGGAACGCTTTCCCCCAAATGGGGCTGCCCTAGCGATACGAATCCGTATTAATCAATCTTTAATATAAGTATCGAACACCAAATGAAAAAAACCCAAATAAACCTACCTTTGAATATTGAATTCACGTGCATTACTTTTCTAGAGTGACACGAAACCCTAATTTAATTGTAGACACAATTGCTTGTAAGACTTAACATAATTCTACAACCATAACAAAATGTAATATATACAATGCATAATAGGATGATCATGACTATAGAATAAGATATATATATCACTAGTAAATCACTTAGATGCGTTTACATTATAATCCTGAATTTTGATGTTGTTACAAATATATTATATAAAAAAAAGAAGTCGATCGGTTATATATGGATATGTGTCATCAATACTAATAATATATATATTAGAGTACTTGAAGTATGATACAAGTAATATAACAATCTTCTAGGAAGCTAATCTTGTTATTTTCTCCTAAATAGTCGATTAGGACACAAAATAAACCATAGGGTAGGGTAGGGGTGTACATGGCCGGGTTGGTTCGAGTTTTTCAAATATCAAACCAAATCATATGTGTCGAATTTTTGAAATTATAAACCAAACCAAACCAATAAAACTCGGTTTTTTCAACCTCGGGTTTTTTCGGATTTTTTCAGGTAAAGTATTCATACAAACATATAATTTACTTGTACTTCAAATATTTCTTTAGTCCTACCAAAATACAACTATCTAAGGTGTTTCTTAAGAAAATAACACAAAATATGATACGATTAATGACACTAAAATATCCAACAAAAAATAATAATGAAATCGCGTAAAACAAAAATTACAAATTATTAAGTCATAATGAAAATGATCATAATTTAAGAGTACTAAATCATGCTAAAATAAATTTAATAATTATTAGCTACATGACTAAATATTAAAGGAAAATAAAGTTAGATTATGTATTTTAATTGCCTAAACCTATTTAAAACTAAAGAACAAATATTCAATATTATTGTCATTCTTAGTGTTGAATTGATTTTATTTTGCATTAGTATTAATTTGATTTTGATTTAAGCTTTATTATAATTACCAACATCTATGGACTATAATCTTTATTGGACCATTAAGAATTCTAACTTTCAAACATGAACTAATATATTAAAAGATAAAAACTATGAAAAAGTATAAGAAATATTTAAAAATTTTATCAACGTAAATATTTTTATGTATAAAATAAAATTTTAAAATTATATATATAATGTCGGGTTGGTTTGGTCTTGGGTTGGTTTTTTTTAGTTGAAACCAAACCAACCCAAATATAGTCGGGTTTTTTTTTTCCAATACCAAACCAAGTCAAACCAAACCAAGAAAAATCAAACCACTAGTCGGATTTTTTTTCCGATTTGATTCGGTTTTCGGTTTGGTTTTGTACACCCCTAGGGTAGGGGTTGAATATCAAGATTAATGTAGTAGACTAGTTGCAAAATGCAATGGATATAAAAATATAACTTAGACGCGTTTACTTCATAATCTTGTTAAATTTATATGAGTATCGTTATATATTTTATGAGCTCTCTCAAAACACAAAAGGGGTGTTTGCTAACTAGGATTGAATGTTAATAAAATATTAGTAGTAAATAATTAGTTGTAGTATGTGTTATTCTAAATTATCTTACAATATGTTGATATCAATATATAGTTTAAATTTTGGTAAGAAATTTTCATATTTTTAGAGATTACTACATGATAAACCTTAAATGTTCATTATTAATTGAATGCTTCAAAAAAAGAAGAAGAAAAAATTATGTAACAAAGAATATTCTTCGTAGTTGTTATGGTCCTTAAAGTCAAAATTATGGCTAGCAAAAGGGATAAAGAGATTTTAACACATTGATAATTGGACCTATTTAGTTAATTAAAAAAAATATCATTTAGTTTATGAGAAATAAGTTGCGTGTTGAAATCAAACTCTAAGTTTGTTTGCATATAACAATATATTCGGTGTGCTTTTATAATAGAATTTGAGAAAGATAAGACGTCTACAGCTTTTATCCTTATGCTTTCAATTCACTCTCAACTCAAAAATGTGTTTTCATAACATGTTTGAAAAAATAAATACAAGAATAGGAAATCTATGATGAAAATACTATAGAAAAGAAAAATATTAACGACAAAAATAGTAATAGTAATAATAAAAATAATAATAAATGAATAAATAAATAATGTTGATATACTTGATAATAATCTCTAGATTCACTTTAGTTCAAGTTAATGTTATTTAGTTAATTAATTAAATAAAACAGAAAATATTTGAAGTTGATAGTTATATATGTAACTATAACTTGTATATGAGGATTAATAGTTCAATAAAAATCACAAGAAGAAACAATTCTATTTTTATTTATTTTTAAATATGTTCGTTCAAATTTTAGTGTATATTGATTGTACACTTTTTTATACATATGGTCACAATATATTACAATTAGGCTAGTGAAAGTCTAGAAGTGTTTACGAAAAAAAAAATTGAAAATCGAGACTTTCGGTTTTTATTTATGATTAATAATCGATAATGACATTAAAATAATGTTATTGTATAAAAATGTCATAATATTAAGCGATGATTATATATATTTACACTTAATATTGAAAATCTAAATCTTTTTAAATTATGCATCACTTTATATAAACAAAGGTTCAAATTTGTCTTCGAATTATACAAAGTTGCTTAATAAATGTAATAATATACTCATTATTTCATCAAACACCATCCAGTCTTATTAATTAAGAAGAGGCGTATTATGAAAATTTGTATTAGATTTAAATTGGAATCTATAATTTATTTATAAAAAAACACTATAATTTGTTTCTTTGAATGATTAAGTTAGTGTACTTTCATCCTTTGTAATGTAGATAGTTTGTTTTGATGGTACATGATCATTATTCGATTAAGTATTTTTTTATTAATTGGCCATAGATGTTTCAAAAACATCTATTTTCCTTCCTTTTTTTTGTGAAACAATAATAAATTTATAATTGAATATACAAATAAATATTGTGAAACCTCAGCTTATTCTAGTAACCTATCAGTATCACCTATGAATTGATCCACTACAACAAAAACACATTTTAGCGGCAATAATATACACATTAACAAAGAGTGTTGAAGCCTTTACCGACATTAATTAATTGTCATTGCATCCAATGTCGCTAAAGACTTTAGGTACATATACAAAGAGTACTGCTAATTACCGCTAAAAGTACATATTTTAGTGACAATTAAGCTATTGCCGTTAATTAATTGCCGCTAAAGATATTTTGATGTAGTGTGATCATGCTTTTTGCTACTCATTTATCTTTATTGATACAAGGGAATTAATTGTGTTTTTTTTCTTCTTCTTATTTGGTGTTTGATATTTATATTGAAGTTTGAATTCTATATTTGAGGGTAAACCGCTTCCTAACAAAAGCGATTACGTACCCAAGAAGACTTGAATCTGAGACCTTTGATTAATGAATGAGTACTTACTACTCCAATACAACAAGTTACTATAGTTGGAAAAAAGTTATTGAGAATTTTATACTTTCTTGTAGTGGGATTAATTGTTGGGTTCGAAAGTGATTACGGCATCATGCGGAAGCTTACAAGTGCAAATAATATGAGTGATAAATTAGATGACAAAAACTTATATTAAAAATCAAAATATTCTTATATGGTTTATAGCCAATCGGCCTACATATGAAAAACTAATAAAAATATTAAAATTGTTGCGGGAAAATCTCCCCATAAACAAAAGTCTCTAAATGACTACATTGTGGATGCTATTGTGTTGTTGATATGAGAATAGGGATCTTCAATTTATAGATCTCCAAACTTTTCCTCTAAGGAAAGAATAAACCAAATATGGAAGAAAAATATATTTTTCTTTTAGAAAAATTCAAACATTTATGGTAATACTTTGACTTTTCTTTAAGGAAAAAATAAACTTCAAATAAGGTAAGAAAATCATGGCAAAACCTTAACATGATTAATTCCAAGAAACTATAGGTTCTTCGAGGTACAATTTTCATAAGTGATTTTGGGTCTATTTCGTCCCTCGTAACACTTTCTCTTATCATGATTTACCTCATCAATCAGTAGGATAGACTTCTCATATGATTACTTAACTAATAATTATTACTATATATGTCTGGGATAGTTACTTTTTTTTCCTTCTTATTTCCAATTTTCTTAAATAATAAAAGTGATTTACTAAGATAATAACTACTTAATTGAGTCATGACCATTTGAAAAATCAACTCTCGATCGATACAACTATCGATTGACACACAACTTGCTCAAATCATTTCATTTCTCATTTTATCCTCAACATGTGTACTACTATATGAACCTTCTCGTAAATGCGATCATTGAAATATTGTATCACCGCACATCCATCTTACCATCCACGTCTCTACAATATATTGTCAATTAATATTAGTACAACCGTGTACCTCAAGACCCATATTAGGTGAGAGCTTCTAATACACACTTAAACCATTTCCTACTTCTTTAAATTCTCAAACAAGAAACACTTTAATTTCTCAAACCTAAACTTTTAGCTAAAAATTTTTACACAAATCCCAAGAAATTCCATTTTCCTTTAGACATGAATTCATGCAACCATTAAAGAAAATATATATTTCTTGCAACATATAGCAAACAACAAACTTTATTTATTATATATTATACCTAGCTAGGGTTTTCCTCTTTTTGGAAAACCTATTTAGGGTTTTTTCATCAATTTTGGCAACATTTTTTTTTTCCAAATTTAAGTTTTAGGGTTTCATTTTAGAAACACAAAATATTATATAAGTAACTTGAGAAGAATTTGAGAAAAAAATGGAAGAAGTGAAAGAAGAAACTCAATTACCACCAGGATTTAGATTTCATCCAACAGATGAAGAGCTTATAACATTTTATTTAGTGAACAAAATAAATGATGTTAATTTTACTGGAAGAGCTATTGCTGATGTTGATCTAAACAAATCTGAGCCATGGGATCTTCCAGGTAATACTAAACTTCAAACTTTCTTTTTTTTGAGGCGTATACATTTTAATTAAACTCATGTGAGTCAGGACTAACATGTAGTTTATGCTTGTGTGTCAAGGAGTACTGAACTCAAACTTGTATTTTTTTTGAATTTAGCTTTGAAAATAGGGGTACGTACCTAGTCCATGTAGGGTAAAGTTACATCGATGGATCCAGGATTTGAACTTTTTATCATGGGTTCAAATTCAGATACCATATCATGTATGTCTAATTTACTTGGATCAAAATATATTATTTGTACTTATTTAGTGGATCTTTTTGCAACACAAGTGTATATATAGTTTTAATTAAGCCAAAGTTACTGAGTTCAAATGAAATCATAATCTTATTTTGTTAGATTTGTATGTCGAAAGGGGTTCAACTGAATCTCCTCAACCTAAAACTTATGGTATAGGAATGTAAGCTATAGGTAAAAATATTTTTTTTTCGTGTATATATAAATTGTTGAATCTTCTTGATATTAGGAAAAATAAAAGGATTTATTTATATATATTGTATATCTGTAAATTGTTAAAAAATAATTAGTGTTTTTTTTCTTGAATTTATTGAAAACCCTAAAAAAATTGTGTATCATTATGAGAAATTTCCAGAGAAGTGATTGATGTATAAACATAAGAGAACAATTTTTGGATCTTTCCCTCTACTTTACAGTTTTTTGTTTTTATTTTCATTTTGGGATGCAGTTATAAGCTATTATAAAAATTAATACCTTCATCAAAATGTTTTAACAATAAAATAAGAGTTGATTAAATAGGTTAAAAATCTTCTAAACTTTCATTATTATTTTGTGAATTTCATACTTAAATTATTGTACGTTCACGAAACCTCTGAACTCTCATGGATTCATTAAAATCCCCCCTAGTGGAATATGACATGACACGTGAATATCACCAGAGCGGAGCTAGGTGGGAGTTCGTGGATTCGGTGATATTCACGTATCATTTAAATAAATATATATGTATATTAACTTGTGAACTCGGTTCAGTGGTCAAGAAGTGATTGTGAAACGCCCAAACTCTTAATCCCGATTTCACCTTTGAATATCACGCTCCAATAGCTCCTTCAAAGAGTTCCAAGTGGCAGTTAGGGTATTTCTCTCTAATCGTTTTGTGAATTTCATACATAAACTATTGTGTGTCCACAAAACTCATAACAATTTTTTAGTGGTGTGATAGTTAGGGTACCGTGAAAATCGTAAAAAAAATGAAATATCATATGTGTGCTTTTTATCATTATCTCAGTTAATTATATATAAGTTCTTAAATCCATCATTTTATTTAATTAACTCTTCTTTTTTTTGTGTAAATTAAATTACAGGAAAGGCAAAAATGGGAGGAAAAGAATGGTATTTTTTCAGCCTACGTGATAGAAAATATCCAACAGGAGTAAGAACAAATAGAGCAACAAATAGTGGATATTGGAAAACTACTGGAAAAGATAAAGAGATTTTTAATAGCAAAAATAATAATTCAGAATTAATTGGGATGAAAAAAACATTAGTTTTCTATAAAGGAAGAGCACCTAGAGGTGAAAAATCAAATTGGGTCATGCATGAATATAGAATTCGATCCAAATCTTCTTATAAAACAAACAAGGTACGTATTCTCAATTTATCGGTAATTCCTAGCTAATTATTATTCGTAGTTACATGAGATTAACATGAGAGTTTTCTGTCTGTCGCTAATTCATTGTTTTCTTGTTGTATGCTCTCTTTTAATTTCTATGTGATATATATGATAGATGATTTTTTGCTAGATTAATTTTTGTCATCGCACTCTAAGTTTAACATTTATCGAGCATATCTAAGTGAAAAATAGGGGGAAAAAATCATTACATGAACCCTACAACAAAATAGTAATATGGTTGTTTTGTATTGTATGCTATATTAATTGTCGGTGTATATAAGTTGAATCTATTCATTTTTTCCCCTTTTTATTAAATATATGTCCTTCATGTTTAATATGTTTTAAAATTTATTAAAAGTTGTAAAAAAAAAATTGTGAAATTGAAATCCCTTTGAGATATATATTAAAAAGTTACCTAAGTCATTCAAGTTAACTATTATGTGTGGTTTTGGATTATCTATTTAATTAAAGGTGTCTTTTTAAACCTCAGATATTAAAATTTATTCATTAAAAAAGTCCATGCATGTGTAAAGAATTTAATTTAATTATTATAGCAAGTTATCTTTGCCTTTGTTTTTCAAAATGTTAGCTAATTTCACTTATTATGAGAAATTACATGCATATTTTTTTTATCTTTTCGATAACTTTAACTAGAAAAGTTCTTTACATTATAGTCAGTCTATAGAAACTAAACTCGTTTGGTAAACCTAAATACATACTCATATGGTTTCTCCAGCTTCTTATTTTTTTCTTCATGTTACTAATTTCACTTACTATGATCAATCACCCTTACCTGTCGTTGTATGTTAGATGACCCGATAATATTAAATTTATTTTACACTATCAACATATATATTGAAATTAATTAAACTCTAACATGCTATTATACTCTATTTTTTGCAGCAAGATGAATGGGTGGTTTGTAGAATTTTCCAAAAGAGTGTAGGATTGAAGAAGTACCCTACTAACCAATATTCAAGGGCAACATACTCTCTCAACAACACTCAAAATAATGCATCAATAATGTCATCACAAATGATGCAATTACCTCATGATCATCAAGGGTTCCAATTTGCAATGGGAAGAAATAATAATAATTACATGAATAATCATGGTCATGAAATTCAAGATCTTAATAATAGGGTTATTTTTCAAAGTGGTTCATCAAATATGATCAACAATTTCCCAATACAACCCCAAATGAGTTACAATATTGGAGGTGGTAGTACTAGTAGTGGCGCAGGAGGAGGAGATAATAATAATAATTACTTCAGTATTTCAGGCTTAAACTTGAATCTTGGTGGTGGGGTCGTTGCCTCTTCTCAACCAATTTTTAGGCCAATGCCCGCCCCCGCGCCACATATACCACCACAAGTTATGAGTCAACAAGAAGTGGCTTCTTCTATGATGGCCAATTGTGCAACTACAAGTTATGGAGGTGAAATGAATAATGCAAATACTATGAATAATAGTGTCATGACCATGGACAATTGTGCTGATTTAGACAACTATTGGACTAGTTATTGATCAAGAAGAAGATGTTTTTTTACACAAAAAGCCACTTTTTTTGGCCTTGTATTTGGAAGTAATGTTAATTAGATTATGTTAGTTTGGCACTAGTGTTATATTTAATTTCTTCTACTTAGAAAACAAAGTATGTTGTAATGTTTATTGAGGAGTGTTAATTACTAGTTTAGTACTTTGTGGCAAAGCCACACAAGAGTTTGATCATGAATGACTTTGTAGCTTTATTGAATAATCTTTGTGTAATACAATAACAATATATCAAGTGTAGTACGTCTTATAAGTAAGGTTTGGAGAGAGTCTTATATGTGTATTTTTTAACCTTTATCATTGTAGTGTCAGAAAGGTTGATTATGATGGATCCTCGGCTCAAAAAAAGCATAATTAAAGTTATTGTGTATTTTATCTTATTTATCTTTTTATATATATATATATATATATAAAAATTATAATCAACTTCTATACATTTTTCGAGGTAAAACGTTACAAGTTACAACGTTCTATGTTGAGAGCAAAATTTGAACCTAAACTAGAGTCTTAGATCAACTTGACCTTCTCGACATGTGTTTAATGATAACTTTAGAAACGATATAAAAGAACAGTATACACCACTCACAAATAATTTCAAAGAAAAAGAAAAAAAGTATAAACCACTCATAAATATTTTCGGAAATAGAAAAAAATAATTAAAACTCATGTTGAGAGTGGGATTTGAACCCACGCCCTTTCGGACCAGAACCTTAATCTGGCGCCTTAGACCAACTCGGCCATCTCAACATTTGATGATTATTCAACTTAATTGTATTCATAACCGTTTATTATGTTAAAGCCTATTAAAAGTTTTTTTTTAGAAAAATAAATTATGGAGCATAAAAGTAGGTAAAACTAATAAAAGAAATTGGATACAAAATTTAGAAGTGAAAATAGAATCCTTACGGTGCTCAAGTTTATTGATGAGGAGGAAATACCATATAATCTGTCTAGCTAAAAAGTCATTATTAAAGATCATAAATATTTATTAAAAGCCAATAATATTGCCATCGTACATATATGAGGGATACAAACTATTGTTATGTGCCTACTTTTTGCCAAACAAATGATACAAACATAGAAGATTTGTCACTCTGGTGATCAAGAATATGAAGTTTCTTCTCTTGACTAATTTACTCAACTTGGCAAAGGAAAGATTTTAAAAATTTAAGCCAAAAACCTTACGAGGACTTGATAAATATGTCGTGAATCCTCTTGTTAGCAAAATCACAACATACAAACAACTTTTTCAATATTTTTATGATAATGATATTTTGGTCAGCTTGTACACCTCAACTATTCCACTGATTACATCCCACCAACACAAATATTGAGGTAAGGGAAGAAACCAGAGTCTTTTCTGCCTCCACTAGAAGTTGAACCTACGACCTCATAATTCACCCATTTCGTCGATCTCTTGGTCAGTGCACAACTTGCAAACAATATTCAAAGTTAATTTAAAAAATAACCGTTCTTAACCAAAACTCCATGCCAACATAAGGACTCATGTAGCCTATGCTGGATTAATCATACTCTAGGCCGAAGCAATAAACCTATTTTACCAAGATCTTTGATTGTTTGAGAACAGATTAAGGCAAGAACTAAGACCATGTCGTGGAAAAAAACATGTATGAACTTAAACCTAAGAGCAATATGTTGGACTGATAATACAACACCAACAAGCTCGGTGTAATTTCACAAGTGGGGTCTAGAGAAGGTAGAGTAATGTACGCGCATGCACCTTACCCCTATCTCTTGGAGGTAGAAACGGCCTTTCTGAATGACCCTCAGCTCAAGTGCATCAAATCAAAATAGTTGTGAATGCGAAAATACGACAATGAGGAAAACATGGCAACATGTTGGATTGATAATAATAAAAATTAATAATACATGAATAATGAGACTATGACTATCCAAAGCCAAAGATGTGATACACCAACACAAATTTTTTCAAGCATATATAGTTTATGTATCTCCATTTCTTTGGCCTTATACACAACCCAAAAATGAAAAAAAAAAACCTAAGGCAAGAGCTTCATAAACAAGCAAAAAAAAAATTGTAGTGGGACTAAAAGCTCCATATGCTCAGGGAGTAAAGCACAGCCAATCTGCAACAAAAAAACACATACCATATTTCAGATTAAGACATCAAGCAGTAAAGGGAATGAATGTGAGTACACATTTTACAGCAATGAAAAAGGCATTATACTCTCTCTATCCCAATTGTTCGGTATTGTTTGACTGGGCACGGAGTTTAAGAAATAAAGACTGTCTTTTGAAACTAGTGGTGTAAAACCAGCCTCTGACATTTGACCGGCAATAGAGATCATCTCATTAAGAGTAAAATGAAATTTAAAGTTAAATGGTTTCCAAAGACATTCTTTTTGGGACAGACTAAAAAGAAAGGTGTGTCACGTAAATTGGGATACAGAGTCTAGTGTTTGGCTTCATTCCCGTGTCAGTATAAACTAAACGATAAAGATCACTATATATAGGGGCTAATTTGCATTAAAAAGGACAGCTATTTGGATGTGCAGCTCTAGATTTTGGGCATGGAGAATTGCCACAATTATCTCTAAGTCGATACATCGCAATATCTTATGGTGTATGCTGGCCTCTCAAGTGCATGGTATTTAGATTTTATCCTGATCCACGACGTAAATGATATATTGAGACAGGGGAGTTGTCTACTTTTATGTTTGCACCTACTCCAATCAACAAGTGAGATTTCTAAAACCTTTTTAATAACCTTCTTCCTTTAATCTTGAATTTTCTTTTGTTTTTTGGGTCTGGAGCAGCGGATTAGAATGGGGTGCATTTGGGCAAAAGCACATTATTAAGCATTACCAAGAGGGCAATAAAAAATACCGAACCAAGCAACCGTCAACAGCTTATGATTTTCGAACTAAACACCGTAAATTTGATCTGTTCCTTATCACACGGGACAAAGGGCATACATATCCAATGCAAGACGGCTATGCATACAGGAAAAAGGGAATAGCTGAAAGTGATACCTGTGAACTATTAAAGTGTGCCTCATTTTTCGATAAAAAGAAGTCAACTTCCTTTGCTCTACATGTCCGGATGTCCCCTCTTGGCCTTACGGCGTGAATTGGGTGAATTAACACTGTGATCAGATTCCTTTGCCTTTGTACTGCAACATACAATTTAAGAAAGACAACTCTGAGCCTCACATTGCACAATGATAATCTCTACGTCAGGAAATGAGGGACGGATTAGATGTACTGACCAGAAGATGGCAGATAAGAATTTGAACAGAATTATAATGGGCAAAGCCAACAATGCTGAGGCCTACAACACACAAAACCAACCAAGTTTACATTTAACAGATATAAAATTGGAGGAAAAAGTGGAGACGTAAAGGACTGAGTAAATGAAATACGCAAACAGATACATACAGCAAACCAAATCAGCTCCTTTGTTGCGAGAGACTTTGTAAGGTCATGATTCTCCAGTGTTTCTTTGACAGTGCCTTGAAGCTTCACGGGATATGAGATTGACGTTTTTCAAATGGTGAACCAAAAATCCAATATAATACTATAAACAATATATGCATTAATCTATTAGAGGCATTTATAACTTCAACCAGATATATTAGAAAAAATCAGTGTTACCAAAGGCGCGCTTTAAGCGCGCTTAAGCCCTAAGGCGAGGCTCAAAACGTGTTGAGCGCTTCTCCTCGCTTTATGTGAGCTTCAGTGTCGTCATCAAGGTTCTAAGACAAACTTTTCCTTGTCAATGAGTCTCTTATGAAGATGTGACACTAAACAATTGATATTTAACTTTATCATATTTTTTTTTCAATTTCTTTTGTCATATATTTGTCATTCATGGTTATAATTATTAGTCTTGGACTAAACAAACACATTTTATGTTTTTCTCCCTTTGCGCCTTTTTTCATTAAAGCCCACGCTTTATTTGCACTTTGCGCTTAAAGCCCCCATGGACCTTAGAGCTTTTTTGCGCTTTTCGCTTTTAATAACACTGGAAAAAATAAATCAAACCATAGTTGTCTTCTTAAACTTATGGAAAACATATGCCTGAGATCATATTTCAGGGGTTAATGTATCAATTACTTTCTCATACCTGATTATGGTATGTAGTTGCAGACTCAAGGAACTTCCCATAATGATGAACTGCCATCTCTGTGTATGGCTTGGCAGCAACACGAACTTTTTCAACATGTGGTTTTGCAGCAGCAGCAACATCATCAATGTATGGCTTGCTGAATTTCTTAATTTCCTGTCAGAGAACTTTTCTCAGCACTATGCATTCATACATGCATGACAAAATTGGGAAAATGTTTTTTCTTAAACAGACTTGGGAATGCTACCTGAACATGAGGAGTAGCTAGTTCTTGAACCTTGAGAATATGTGGAGTTATGGCGCCTTTAGATGTCTCGTAAATTTCAAGAGCTCTTGTAGTTAGCAATTGTACATGTGGCTCAGCAGTAGTGGAAATCACCAACCACTTTTCCTTCGCAATTGGTATCCATTGCTTCAAACAGTAGAGCAGCACAATGAGAGTCAACGCATACCCCGACTTGATAGCTAAGACACTCGGGAAAACTAATACATATTGAATAATATAAAACTCAGACAAATGAACTTCCATCAAAAAGAAACTATTGAATATCCTACACAATTTAATAGCCATCCTTATTACTATTTAGCCTCTTCCTATTTCTAAAGGAACTTTCTCCAGAAAGATCTTATTTTTGTGTGTGATAAACGTGGTGTCCGGGGCCAGCTTTCTCGCACCTCGGCTAATACCACGGGATACCTGCCACCTCCCACCAAGGCTATCTCCAGAAAGATCTATTAATAATCTACTACCTTAGCAGACGAGGTTTTACCTCACAAGGAACGAGAAAACTTTGGCATGTACATTATCACTTGTTTCTCTAAAGCAATAGGGATTTCAAACAAATATAGTAGTTCGTTGTGGTCAACTATCTTAGCACGCGAGATTTAACCTTGCAAGAACAAATAGCTCAAGGATAGATTTGTATGATTACTTGTTCAGTACACACATGGATTTAAAATCAATCTAGGTTCCAATTTCGAGTGAATTTCTTCAATTTTGAATAAG